GATTTTAGCACTTAAAATTGCGTTTGAAGTCAAGTTGTATCATCATGTTTCATTTACAAAGAAACCAAGAAAGGTCCTTGATATTCTCGCTTTCGCTGCTCAAGTTATTGTCTTATTCCACCGTCCTCTACTGTTATTTATATTTCCGGAAATTTACCGCAGATTTTGAAAGTAAAAATACAGTTTTTAAATTAATTTAGTCCCTTCTCTGGTACGTTTTAACCTTTCTTTAAAAAAAACATAGGTACATACATTGCAATAAAATTCATTTAACTTACAAATCAATATTTTTGCTTAAAAGGATTTACTTCAGGCTGATTTCAACATTTCAACCCTGAAGGCAAATTTGGGATTCCAGACCAAGACGATCAATAACAGAACGTTGAATAGAGAGGCAAATGAGACAATTTGCTTTAACTAAATCATAATAATTAATCGCTTGATACTGTGAGCGTAAGCAAAATTACAAAACAGCTCAATACCATTTAGGATGCATGTATTGTGGCAAATTTTAATTGCCAACGTTTTTACGCAACTGCGACAACCATATCGGGCACAAGAAGTGATTTTGCGGCGGAATGTCGATGACTGGATTTAAATCGCCTTTGACCGTGGTATGAGGAAGATTAATTAATGTTACGGTCGAATTTCGATTGAACCATTTCCATACAGTGTTTCTGTTTTGAGTGTGAAAAATGCCGAAACGTAATTAATTGATTTGACATCGAATCGTTGAAATTAACACAGAAATGCCGTTATTATTAATTATGATTGGATGTCCATTTGAAACCTGAAGAGGCACGCATCTACTAAGCATTTGCCTCGAACGAGACTTCCTCTGATTATTGAAGCAAATCCACTTATTTAGAATAATATTTTGGCAACTAATCGACGCGTGCCGATCATAATTCACATCAGACCGATTTAAAGCGGAAGTAATTTTTGCTAATTCCATTGGCGAATTTCGCATCCTGCCAGCACGAACATCATTTTTGATTTGGCCAGAACGTGACTAATTTTCGCAATCAAATCCACCTCACACCAGAACTTCTATTACATAGAAATTATCGATTAACTTGATTAAATCCACTCAACCAACTCAGTTTTTAGATTGCGTTGTGATAAACAACAATTATTAATTAATTATAGCCGATAAGGAATCGACGAAAATAAAACCAGGCGTTAAGCTTCTGCGCCCCATAAATTCACGGCCACCCCAATAATTTAAAGAACAGTGATATAATGAATACATTTGGGGTCTGAAAACTCGTGATAATTTATATATCACTTCACATCGCCCTAATGTATGAGCACTTAGCATGAAATGGGCCGCTCACGGTTTTATTTGCCAACCATCTTAATTACTAATGGTTTTTCATTATTATGCCAAGGTCGAGCTAATTGCAATCCGCATTTGCATACGACCACTTCATACAGGGTGATTTATTAGTCTGCTAGCACAAAACATCCAAGTGGTTTCTAATTGCAAAGACACAAAGACAAAAATTTGTAGAAAAGGGCGTCCTTCAATAGCTTAATTTCGGTAGAAACATTTTTTAATAAAATCATTAAATTCTCAGCAACTACTTCAAGTGAAATATGCATACTTGGTTGCATCTGGCGAACAATCTAATCATCTCATTTCGCTTCCTTCAAGGATAAATAATAATAAATCGACTCGCCCTCCGCCTTCACTGCGAAGATCAGGAAAAATACATCAAATTCTGGATATAATGAGAAACTTTGCCAGCTGTATCGAAAACCTTCAAGCCGCCGGTGGGAAGTTTTTCATTTTCAGCTTTTTCATTCCGCTTTTAATTACCCTTGTTTGATTTTAAATGCGGACAAGGCTTTGCTGATTTTCTAAACGAGGGTACGTCGGTTTTTTCCATAGAAACAGAGCCAGTGGCTTCGTTTTTTGCCTGAATTCCATTAGTCATTGGAGCTGAATGGAAATCCCTGTGCATTGTCATTATGATCGTGGGTTAAGAGTTATTTGGCGTTTTCATTTGGGAATTAAATTGATGAAAGCCGCGTGCTCAGCCGAAAAAGGTCGAGTGTTAAGCAAAGTTTGCAGTTTTACAACAATTGCATTTTCAGTCAAAAATTTACCCCGGCTAAATTATCCAGTTCGCCTAGAAGATCATTCAAAAGCTGCTCGGGATCTTCTGGATCCGATTCTGCTCCATCTGGACCATCGGTTGTGTCGCTTAATCTGTTCATCTGCAACAAACAAATATTTTTTAAACAACATGAAAGCTGAATGAAAAAAACCACCTTAAAACACATTTATACAGATTGAATGTTCAAATCAAGATGATTATCAGCATTTTGCACTAAAATCTATATTGAACACGCATAAACCACCCACCTTTTCCACAACTTAAGCAGGCATTATTTTCAACTCGCATCCATTCAGAAAACTGCCCACGAGACCTTTTGGTGGGCCTCGTTCTGACAAATGGACAGTTTTCGGAATGTTTCGCGTCTACTTGAACGAACATACCGGAAAAACGTGAAACGCTGATGAGAAATCTGGAAAAACCCCGCAAAAGCCCCTGCAAAAGTTCTGGATAACGTAAACATCACAACAGCTGGCTTTAGATTAAATAAATCTCTCATGGCGCTGGAAGGCCAGTTATTTGGAAAATTGCAACGGTGAAACTAAGGAAACTTCAAGTTTGTGAACAAGTAAATTAAGCGAGGAAATAACGAAGAAAGTACGGGGCTCCAACTGGGCTTTATAAAGTTTTGCCATTGGTAGTTAGTATTGACTTAAAACATTCGATACCCCTAATAGATAAAATTAGTTCTAAATCCAACTGCTTCCATAGCCGATTGTATGAAAAATAGTGACCTAAAACGAATGTGTTGAATACTTACACGTTCAAGGCATGTTTTTTCACATGACAAAATTGGTAAGCCGAATTAAAATCAAGAATTAAGCAATTAACAAGAATTCATCACTAAGAAGCTCGAGTAAGCGTAATTAATTAAATCGCAATAAGGAACAGTTCAGCAACCCGACCGGATTTAGCCACGATTCAGAGATCCAAAGGGAAGAAAACCCGTCTTTCCTTTGCTGCATTTATCAGCATAGTGGCTTTTTGGCAATGAAGCGAGTAAACAAGGAAAATAAACACACATTCAAGCTAAACACCTTGACTAAACCAACGAACTGCACAAACTCTCCACAATACAACATCATAATGTGGGTGTGCTTTATTTTCGAAGCAGAAAGCCCCAACTTGTACCTCTGCCATATGGTCGGTGTATTCTTCAAAAAAGCCAAAATTGTCTGCAGGTGAAAGTTAAAATTAACAACAATGCTCGGATCAAACACATTGCCACTTGCTGCAATATGTTCATTTACTTCAGTTAATAAATAATAATTAGAGAAGTTTACAACTAATCATCACAGTCAATTTAATTAAGTACGTATTCATAAATATCCCTTTGCTAAAAATGGCCCCCGAACAACGAGCTGGAGAAACTGGATGAGAGTAAGAAATCGCATTAGCTGAAGATTAATACGCTCATAAATCACAGTGGATGAATTCCCATAAAACGGCGATCTTTCCATGCTAAATATAACATTTGGGATCTTTCGGGTCGAAACGGTAGTTATTCTGGTGATACATTTTGAATGGACGGAGGCCACAAAACCAGCACTATCCAGAGAGGATTATTAAACACTGTCCAGCTTAATGCTTCGGAAAATTTAGCTAACACCATTTTTCCCCGATTTAGCAAAGACGCACTTTTCTGCCGATTTTCACCGGCTTTTAAGGTAGGCCAAAGTGGTAAAAACCTTGTGAGTTCTGCATATTTCATAAGCAAACACACGATGGCGTTAATAAATGATGAGGGTCTAAAAATGGTGTTTGTTGGGGCTTTTGAGTGACGTGCGACACTCTGGATAGATATGAAACATTTGTTGTTTACGCATACTCTCAATAAAATTGACTTCGCGTTGAAAGTAATGGGATTTCCGTGTAATTTTTTACGGCTCTTAGATTCGATTGAGTCTCGCTAGACATTAACACCTTGGGAATTTTAATCGTACTTCAGAAAAAGTGATTAATAATCAATAAAAACTCCTTTATCGAAATCTCCACAATTCCTACTCTTTGTAAAAACTTCTGTAAGCAAACAACGTTCTGAATAACTGTACTAATTAGGAGCTGGATTGTTACTTTTTCCGTATCATGAGGCAATTACGGTCTTCGGACGGCCAAAAACGTGCCGTCGAAGTCATATAAAAATTAAAATCCACAGTAAGTTTCAAATTTCCCGTTGTTTGGACATGTTGTCAAATCGAAGGAGGAACAAATTCCTGCAAGAAGAGGCCAAAGGGTAACAGCTTGTCAGCAAAACTTCACGGGATTTCCGAACTTATTTTACGCTCTCTAGTCGGCGAACTTTGAGAATTATCGACTAAATTCGTCACAGTCTGGGTGTTGAAACGATGCAGTTCTTGCACTGTTCGGCACCCAAGAAAATTTCCTTTAACTTTGCGAACAACCCAACTAAAAAATCAATATTAAACAACCTGGCCCAGGTTGTTCAATGCATAAATAGTACCCAGTTTGTACGTTATAAAGCTGAAATTAATTACACGTCAAGCTGGATTTTATTTTCGACAGTCATCTTTCCGAGTTCATATTGGAACGCAAAAGAGCTGATGAAAAGGAAAGGTTTCATTAATGACGCCCAAACGAAAGCAGCCTTTAGAACCCGTTAATCCCTTAACGAAACTTCGAATGGTTTATTCATATTGTTTCACAATTTAATGTACTTTTGTTGTATTGTAATAAAAAATGCCGATCATCTATTAATTGGGTATAAGTTGAAGAAGGAATTTTGACGTGAAACTAACTTGAAAATCGAAACTGGTGAGTTTTTTGGGCTTTTTGGTGAGTCGTGGAGAAGCCCCAGAAATTCACCAGTTTCAACCTATGACCGAGAAAGCCGCTCTTTTGACCACCTGGAACACCTTTCGCAAAAAAACATCAATTGCTTGTGTTAAAAAACCGTTCGAAAATATTCAGAAGTGTTATTCAATATAGATTATTTTCCCCGAAAAAAAATGAAAAATTGTTAAAATAATTGCAAAATTTGCATCAACTTTAAAATTGGGCCAATTCCCTTTCGAATAGTCCAAATGACAACGGCCATAACCTTTAAATGGTCCAATCTTGCAGAAAAGCGGTGTTTCACAGCAGGAAAATATTCATAAGCAAGCGCGTCTTTTATATTGTGCCAAAGGAAATTTTCCACTTTAATCTCCGCAATAAACTCCCCCATATTTTATTAACGCTGCAGGAACATGGCATTATTTTCCTGCTAGTAAAGACTGTGGAACTAAATTTTCTCTGGCAGGAAATAATTTACCGGGCACGATACAAGACATCCACTTCCGGACCCATGCAATTTTCATTGCTTCATTGTAATTACACCGCTACAGGATTTGTCAATCATTTTAAATACATTTTTTTCTTTTGTGTGCTTTTTAAAAAGCCATTTAAACAAGAAAAAAGTACATTAAAAATGCAAGATTGTGTGTCAAAGACGCACATGGATAAACATCCTAAAAAAAATCCGGGAAAACTGAAATACCCAGAGTTAAGGAAAAGTTCCATTAAAATCTAGGTCAGACCTTCTCCAAATTTCCTGGAGTGTGATTAGTTGAATGCGGAACAGCAGTTGTTCCCTGCTCAACCCTTTGCAGGATAATATTTCGTCTTCCTCTTAATTGGTTTCGTGACTGGTCGTACTAATTTTGCTTGGGAAAAATGACTATTTCATCGCTAAGGAAATGATTCGCGTATTAAACGGCTCAATGCTGAAGGAAGTGTTTTACAATGCTAATTATTGTTCCCTAAAGAGAAGCAGCGATAATAAAATCGTTGGACACAAATTACCATTAGAGACGAATTTGGTAGAATTTTCATTATGTATCAGATAAATAATAGAAAAAAAATTATTTGCATGTTTTGATTGTTTGATTTTCGACATTTTCCCTTCATTCGTACAACTTTTTTTCGGGATATATGCACTTTACTAAACAAAACCCAGTGAAAACTGTACATGAACGTAACACAATATCGTGCACGATCGAATGTGCAGCAATTAACTGTATTTTTTCCGTACGGTCGGCAGGTACGTATGTTAAAGCCAGTTCCAAAAAAAGGCGAACAAAAGGAAGTAAAATATGTATATCGGCATGAGAAGCCGTATCGGCATTATACAAGCGGTGAAATGCCTTTCTATTTATGGTCAACGGGCGGATTTTTTCAACAGTGTTCGCAAACGAACCAACTGAGAGTATTTCCACATCCATACCGTGAAACTAGCGAAAAACATACCGATATTGTCACTGTTAAACTGCGAAATTCATAAACTTTTGCTTAAAGTTGGAGAATTTGTATTGATTGAAACCAAATGCCCCAAACGCCGTTAATCTGCATAATTGAGAAGCTTCTTAGGTCGAAATCAGTCAAAAAACTCGCATGTGAAACTTTCTTTTTTTTGTCAAATATTTTATAAGGTCAAAGTTTTCGAAAAAAAAAATCTCAAAATGCTCCAGATTTTTTTCTTAAACTGGCCGAAACGAGCATAAAACTGATCCAATTTATTCTTGGATGGATGCTTGATCCGCACATCCAAAATTTGCGAGAAAGTTTCCATCCTCGATTTTCTTAAAATGCCTCAAAACATCTGGCCTTGATTTGAGCATGAAAAACACAACAACTTCAGGATCAACATCCCCAAGTGAAAGGAGTTTTGATCCCCGACTAATTTAGCATCTGAACAGTACTAAACAATGGCGTTTTCCAAGTTTGTTGAGTAAATTTGCTAAGGAAAACCGCCAGCCCAGCTGTAACGAACTTAGCGGCCGCCCTTTTATTTAAAACCACCGTCGAAACTTGTTCAACACAGGGGAAACGACGTGAAGCGTGATTGAAAACAACCCAAGAATAATGAAACACGGAAGCTTTATCGGACTTTTTATTGCCAAAGCAATGTTGTTGCCTTGAAGCGCACTTGAAGAGCGTGAGGATTAAGGAAAAGGAGTGTTTTGTACATGTAAAAAACTCGATAGGAGCCAGTTTTGAGAGTATTTGGGTTGCAATAGTGTGAGAACACTTTTCGTGAAACGGACTGCAATAAATCAACCAAATATTTGGCTTTTTCTACTTAAGTTTACTTTGAAATGCTCC